GCTCGAATATATGGCTTGTTACAGTGAATTCAGATGTTGTTTCCGGAAAATGGGTGGAAATTGGGTAGTGACGAAGGATTTCTCAGCGTTTATGTGACATGAAGCAATATGTAGACATTACCCGACCAGCCCGTGGAATTGGCAGTAAGAATTAACTCTAGCCCAGCTAAGCCACCTTTCCATCCCTCCGTGATCAGTTACGTGATACAAGACCAGGATTTGGGAGATTTTCTGCGACTCTTGACCGTAGTAAGACGTCTAATAGGCCGAGTCAGCGCGATTTTCAATTGGTATTGAAGGGTGCATTCTGAATACGGGTCTATCAACGCTGAGTGCTTTATTGTGGAGCATGCCCCGAGAAGGGTAGCAAGTAAGCAAATAAACAGACTCACAAGTTTACAGAGATACATCAAATACCAGTATCCTTTCGTTATGATTTTCCCAAAATTGGCCATTGTGAGAAGTATCAGTGGAATGCCAAGAATCGAGTACAGTATGCAGAACATTCGAGAAGAATCCGTTGTAGGACTGATGTTGCCATAACCTTAACAATCAACTGCTTCGCCCTTAACCTGGCTAGGGTCTTGATCTAATTTTATAAGTTTGAACAAGAATACTATGAAAAAGGTCCTACCAATAGTGGTAAGCGTTCCGAACTCGAATTGAATTATGTCAAGAAACGAGCGCTTGGCAAGCTCTTCATCGATGGACTGAAAGAGCACTGCACCGACGATCAGGTAGGCTGTCAACAAGGAGACGAGAAACAGCTGAGGAACCGCTGCACATAGTATCTGAAAAATCTCTGTTAAAGGGCGCAACCCACGGTCAGGTACAAATCCTCCTGCAAATAAGGCTACTGGGATCACAACCACAAAGATGATGCCATTGCATCACCCAAAGCACGTGGGAATGGCGCTGAGAGCTTATGGTTAGGACCCAGACCAACGCACGGACAATGTTTCAGTGCAGTACGACCCTATCTTCAGTGTAGGTCTTCCTAAGACCCGCTTCCCTCCCAATAATCTATACGACCCCTCTGATCGATAGCTCTAATAGCGTCC